ACAGAAATGTGTAGAATTGATCTCAGCCATTGGATAGATATTACAATTGATCTCAGCCATGGGATCAAAATGTATCTCACATACATTTGAAGACATTTTCAAAATTCCTCTTGCCTTATTATATAGATTATTATTATTATTATTATTATTATTATTATTATTATTATTATTATTATTATTATTACTTACAGTGCTTTTTGAAGAAAATGAGAATCAAGAATTCTTATTCTATAGTTTGTTTATAAACTGAATTCAATGCTTTTCCACGCCAATTTTCTAGTGTATTTAGGACATGAAAATGTAGTTTGATAAGGGAAGGGGAAAATGTAATCTCTATTACACCCTTTGTTACTTGTCACTAAGTAGATTGATGGTGGAAGGAAATGAAGTTTGTACAAAGTGGGATGATAAAGTAGGAGCTTGAAATGTAGATTTAATGAATTTGGATCCATACCCATTATATTAGCAACCTATATATATGTTTGCATATAAAATTTACTAAAATTAAAAACCGAAGATAAAAATGGGAGCCAAACAGGGGTAGTTAATATCAATATGCTTCAAGAATTTTATAGAAGCCTAGCTTCAAGGATTATATACTGTCTTATACCAGTATAGAGAACTAATTATAGAAGTATAGTGGTCTGTTGAATATTTTCTAAACTAACCGAGCAGGATGTCGAGCAGCCGGAGTGAACAATGGTAAGAGTGGTCAGAGTGATCCACAGGAGCTCTGATGAAGGCAAAAGCTGAGAGAGAAAAAAAAAATTCAAGAAGAAGTTAATAATACTTTTCCATATATCTATAGATTGGTCTGTGCAGAAGTTAAAAAATTCAAGAAGAAGTTTAGCTTATTTTATGTTTGAATTCAAGTAAAAGAAAAGAAAAGAAAAGAAACAAAGTGCATGTACTTAGAAGCTCAGCCTCAGTTTCTGCATTGAAACAATAGGTCATTTTCCTATCTCAGAAATTGTGGTAAGAGAGTTGCTCGGATTATAAAGGAAGGGTTGAGATTGAATTGCCGTATTGTGAGTCCTTGCATAGAATGAATATAGACAACATTTTGATATTTATAAATATAATTAATATTATAGATTTGAAATCTGTTAATATCAATAATGAAGGCTGCAAAAGAAATTCAAGTTAACACCATAAGAAATCTGCTGGAAATTTGCTAAAGTCTTGATAATGAAAACAGATATTAAAAATCTAATGCATTTCATACTTCACATTCCTTCTATTTAATAGATTTGTACACCATACTTTTGTTAGAAAGGAGTTTATTGTTGTAGCAAAATTTTAAGGTCTTAATCCAGACCTTGAACTGCAAACTACATTCTATTCAATTGGAAATTTACTCACAGAACCAGCAGTATTTAAAAAAGCTCATAAAAAAGCTCATAAAAAAGTGATTATCAGTTCAAAAGAACATAAAAATTGATTTGTTTGTTTACTCCATAATGTTTTGTTTGATTATCAGTTCAAAAGAACATAAAAACTGATAATCAAATTTTTTATGAACAAGCAGTGCCAGTTGTGCCCAAAACTCCTTGAATTAGGATTCCTTAATGTTGCTTCTAGTCCAAAAGCTATAGGAGAGGAAAGGAAAGGAAGAAATAAGCTATAAGTGGCTATCAGTTCAAGTATGAAACACATTAGCTGAGTGAACAAACTGCTAAAGGAGTTTATTGTGGTGTTTGCAGATTTCATCACAGCCAAACCGTATAGCTCAATAAAATCTGCAAAAATGTGCAAACCGTATAACTCAATAAGCATTCAAGATGGCAGACACCATAATAAAATAAAATCTGCACACACCATAATAACTCAAATCTGCACACACCATAAGAACTCAAAAATAAAATCTGCACACACTAAAATCTGCACACACCATAATAAAATAAAATCTGCACATAATGAAATCTGCACACAATAATATCTGTACACAATAGAATCTGCACACAAAATCTGCACATAATAAAATCTGCACAAAATCTGTACACAAAATCTGCACATAATAAAATCTGCACACAATAGAATCTGCACATAATAAAATCTGTACAAAATAAAAACACAAAAAAATAGCAGATTTTATTAAACACAAAAACACAAAAACAGAGCAAGATGAGCACAGCCAAAGTGATTAATCTGCACACACCATATAAAATCTGATTAATATGGTGAACAGCAGCAGATGAACAGCAGATTTTAATCTGCACACACCATAATAACACAAAAACAGAGAAAGATGAACAGCAACAGATTTATTTCTCTATCTCTCTATTCCTCTCCTGTTTATTAATCTGCACACACCATATAACTAAAAAACACAAAACAGAGCAAGGAAGACAGATGGCAGACACAGGGTGTGGGGGAGACAGAGAGTAGACACAGACAAATCATCCATCCATATACACTTAGGAACTGTGTTGGGCTTGATCTGAATCTCACATACAGATAAGAACAACACTTTGATGACTACAGAATTTGATGAGTTGTTAACACTTTGATGCCTTAAACTCTGCCTTTCAATAGATAACAAAAAACAGGAAAAAAAACAGCAGCCAAAGTGATTAACACAAAATAAACAGGAGTTATTAAATAAACAGTTGCCAATAAGCAAGATGAACTAACCCAGCCGGAGTGATGAACTAACCCAGTGCCAAAGTGATGAACTAACCCAGCAGCTGAAGTGATGTTGAGCCGGAGTGAACAACGGCGAGAGTGGAACGGTGTAAGCTCTGATGAAGGCTCTGATGAAGACTGTGATGAAGGCTGTGATGAAGGCTGTGATGAAGGCAAAAGCTGAGATTTTAAAAAAAATCAAGAAGAAGAACGGAGAGGAATAGAGAGATAGAGAGGGTAGGCAGAGAAATAGAGAGGGAAGGTGGGTAGACAGAGGGTAGATAGGAAGGCAAATCAGGAAGACAGAGGTTAGATACAGAGGTTAGATACTGAGAGAGAAGAGTGGAGAAACAGGCATGTTGGGCGGGAAACAGAAATGTGAAGAGACAGATATTACAATTGATCCTCAGCCATTGGATAGATATTACAATTGATCTCAGCCATGGAATCAAAATGTATCTCACATACATTTGAAGACATTTTCAAAATCCCTCTTGCCTTATTATATAGATATATATATATAATTAATGGTACAAAGTCAAGTCAAGTTGCCAATATCTTGGACGTGTTCGCTTTTTAACACTAGTGGGTCTTGAGATCACTCTCCACCTTTTCTTTTCTTTTCTAGAAGCACCTTTTGTGTACGAGTTGGGTTTTCTATCAATTTTACATTTAGGCACCGTTTGAGAAGAGTTAAATAAGGTTTTTTTGGTTATTTTAGTCACAAAAGATAAAATAAGTTATTTTAATAAAAAAAATAAAATATTACATCTAACCTATAATCATTACACTATTCTCTTGCAAAAAATCAAAAAGTCCAAAAATCCTTCTCAAACTAAACTTTTTAGCCTAAGTTAAAATAGTCAAAAAAGTCAAAAAGTCAAAAAGCCAATCCACTTCCCAAACGACACCTTAGAGAATTATAGGGGTTATGAAGTTGTTTTAGTGATTTGAATTATTTATTTTGTAAGTTTTTTATGTCATTAATAAAACAAATTAATTTGATTCTATAATAATATCGTGAATGATATATATTGAGTATTTTATAAAATGATTGATTTTGTATTATTGAAACATGACTTATGATAGATCTCACAGATTCTTAAAATTCTCTTAAATTAATATGTAAACTTGAGAAAAGTCTAACTTTTGTATAAAGTTGTCAATATTAACAATTTATGTTTGAAATTAAAATTTTATTTTAGAGTTTATGGTTTGTCACTTTATTTGAATTTTATTTTAAATTATTAAATTATATATTTTATCGGCCTATCTTAATTTGATAAAGAGTATAATATATTGCAGAGAAATTAGACTCATTGCTTTCGTAATTTAGAAGGTCTTAGTCAAACTTCATATAAGTTTAAAACTTTAAATGTGCTCCCATCCGTTCTGGCCAGAATTTGAATTTGTTGAATTTGAGTTCAAACTTTAAGTTTGTGTTTGGATGTTCAATTTGTAAGAGAAATAAACGAGAAGGAAAAAGTAAAAAAAAAAAACTTATATTTTATTAATTTTTTTCTTCTTCATTTTTTTTCTTTATAAATTATTTCACAAACTTAATATCCAAATAGCATAACGGTGAAATTGAAGAAACATTTTAAATTGAAGAGATTCTATTAGTTAATCAAAAAATTAAAAGTTTGAATGAAAAATAAGAAAAATATTATTCGTTTTCTCAGGCCTAGCCATTTTGGTGTTCTTCGCTTTACTGGCGGGCGACAACCTTGCCTTGGTAGCCTGCCAGACTTCAAATACAAATTAGTGATAAAGTTTACAAATTTTAATAATTAAAATCTTAAATTTTACCATGAGCCTGTAATTATTTTCAAACGTTATCACTGATATATAATTTCTCTAGCAAAATTTGACTAGTTGTCTTTAAATTTGACACGATTTAAACCTATAAAGCTTGGATGAATGGGTGCAAACTTTTTCAATTTTATCGTTGAAATTCTAAGAACGTATTTGAATCATGAATTTAGATAATGATTTGAAAACGAAAAAGAATGATAAGCCAAATATAATTATATTTTATTCATATTTTATCTATATTTGTTTTCTTAAATTATTATCAAAATTTATAATTTAAAAGCCGTCTAAATTTGGAACTAGAAAAGTGGGAAACACATTGAATTTCACCTAGCCCAAGTCGCAGCCTCACTATAAATGGTGTAGTAGTACTAGTAGACGACTAGAAGTAGTTCTGTTGTTCAAAAAAGACTACAAGTAGTCCCTTCATATTTGGAAAAGTTCAAAACTACGTACAAATGCTTCCAAAATACAATAACAATCATAGAAACTATTAATTTTGAAATTTTAAAAAAAATCACTAATGACATGACACTTAATAAAAAAAAAATACAAAACCAAGATCAAAACATCAAATCATTTATGGTGGGGTGCACTGTCAAATCATTAGTGATAGCACTAATTAGTGCTCTCACTCATTTTCCATACAATTATAATACTCTTTTTTGTCTTTTCTTTCCAATATGCTAAAATATTTACATCAATTGGTGCACTTCCAAATCTTCCAAACACTTCACTTGGTCAAACCCCATCAAAATTACAATAAAAACTAAAAATTTAAAGTTGTTGAAGGTTTGCTTCCCTCTTGTGGGGTCTTTCCACCTCTTTTGTAGAGGCTTAAATCTTTCCTTCTAAGGAGGTTTTATTTCTTTGTGAGATCTTTAATACCGTTGTATTAAATTGATCTGATCTTTTATCGATTCTGCAATAAAGTTTTTCTACCCGATCTGGAAAAAGGTCTTCACAATTTTTCTGTCTGATTTTGTTGTAAAAATCTTCCAGAAATGGCGGCCGCCAGCGCCGCCTTGAAACTCGGATCTTTCGTCAATGAAGATGCCATTTGTTCAACAAAGAATTGTTGAAATTCCGGTGAATTCATTGCTTGATTTGAGTTTTTGGAATCAGGGTTAGGCTTAGATTTGGTTAGATCAAGAGTGATGGTTGGTCCAGGAAATGATGAGCTGAGGGAGGCTGGGAAAGGGGCTGCTGACCCACCTAGTGTCACACACCGGTTAGAGCTCGGTGTCGATTCAACTCTTGAAGGGTGTGGATGGTTGTGCTCTCCTTCATATGTTGCAACCAAAACTGATTGATCTTCAATACTTCTTTGTACCTGAGAAGATAGAGGGGGGAAAAAAAAAGATTAATTAGAGGTGCTATGACAATGTTTAATTTCACTTGTGTTGTTACATGACAGATGGGAAATTTATTAACTTGAATGTGAAATTTGTGTGTGTATGATTGTTATATGGAGGAAACAACCTTCTTCTTCCATGAAATATTGAACGCGAAATTTTGTGCTTTAAAATAAATTTAATGTAGAAAATGGTGGTAAATTGATTGGAAAAAACGATATTGATTCTTAAACTCTCTCTACTTCCTCTGTCTCAATGGAAGTGCAAGAGAGACAAAGGAATTGAGATTTGGAGACATAGGATCTTGTGTTCAAGTAGTATTCTATGTTCATTTTTGTTTTGTTTTGTAAGTTCTATATCTAGAAAGGGGTGACAAAATTAAGAGTTTTTTTATCTACCAAATGGGTAATCTAGAAAGGATTTTGAGAGAAAATTAGTTTGATATTCAAAATTTTGGAGTTGGAAATTGTGTAAAAATAAGGTTTAGGCAGTGGCTCACCTTCTTCTTGACAGGGCAGCTTGGAGCAAAAGCGCATTTAAAGTAAGCTCTTGGAGAAGGGTTGTCTCTTGTGACCTTTTGTCCATATTTCCTCCATTGATACCCATCTTTCACTATCTACAACACATAAAATATTGGTAAGTACTTTCAAAAACATCTTATATACCATGAAAAAAAAAAATGAAACTAAATGGTTTGGAATTCGAATACAACAAGAGCATTGAAATTATAAAAAAAAAATAAAAAAAAAATCCTCAAAATTTGAATATATGACATTAGAATCTGATTCACATATTTCAAATTCTGAACGCTTTTCTAAATAGGTAGCATTGTTGTTGTTGAAGTTAAAAGACTTACTAGGCTTGTATCATTGGCCTCAGTTCGGACATAGACTCTGGAGATTTTTGCCTTGACATGTTCTCCCTTAGTCTTTTTACATGAATCTTCATCACTTGAACTACTCTCCGAGTTTCCTCCTCCGTTAGCTCCACCACCATTGGCGGTGGCGGTGGCAGTGCTATCGGCCTTCCTCTTCTTCCCAACCACCACTTGCTCCACCACTGGATTCTTGCTCACATAATCCATCAATTGGCTTCTCAAAGCATTGTAGTTCTCACACAACACTGTCAACATTCCTGTCAGCTTCTTGTTTTCCGCACTCACCCGATTCAATTCTTCCATTAAAGCTCTATTCTGAACACCAAAAACAATGAAACATAGCTTTAGAAATCCATTATTCATCATCACTAGAAGCATAGTATCCAAAAAAAAAAAAATTGATATGAACATGTATCTATATGTGTATAAATATGTAACATATGAGATTGAATTATCATCTGGTTGATGAGACACTCTCTTATCAAGCATGATAACTAGATTTAAGTCTATTATTGCGCTATGCAACTTTCCTTTTTCCTTATCAGAAAGAGAGAGAGAGAGGACACTCTCTTATCAGGCGTGATGCTTAGATTCAAGTCTATTGCAGCTCTATGCAATTTCCCTTTTTCCTTATGGAGAGAGAGAGAGAGAGAATTATGTTAGTACCTCTTCTTTGGCTGATATCTTCCTTCCCAACTCTAAGAAAGTGCTTTGGATCTCTTTATTATCCTGAAAGCAAAAAAGGGTACACAAAAAAAATACCAATTTAGCAACTCTAGCAAGTGTGTTGCAAGAAAAAGACAAAAAAAAAATTTGGGAATATTGCATAACAAGGATTTTGAATCTTGGACATACCGGAACTTCATCGATATGTCTGAGGGGATTTGCATTGAGATCCAAAGAAGTATCCACCAAACTAAAATACTCCATAGCAGTCTGAGATCTTTGAGCTAATTGTCTTGAAGAACTTTGCAAAACCAAGAATTCCCACACAGAGTTGAAGAAGGCAATGAAGTGAGAAGAATATATAGAAGTTGAAGGTTTGTTGCAAGTTGCAGCTTGTAGGAAAGAAGAAAGAAAGGAGAAGACTGTGAGAGAGAGAGAGAGAGATAGAGAGAGAGATATTATTATTAAACGTGAAAAGGCAACAAAGCATAAATGACATGCCTTGGACGACGTGTCTGTCAGACGGCGTGAGGAAAAGCGACAAGACCTGATGGTGCGTGTCAGGTACCGATCAAGGAAAAAGGGGGGGGGGTGGGTGGGGGGGGGGGGGGGGGGGGGGGGGGGGTATTGGATTGGAAAAGTGAGGTGGTGGGAGGGAGGGGAGTCTGATGTCGGTCGATTTGAATGAAAATTTGTTCTAAGTCAAAGTCAAGCCAACCTTTCTGTAGAAAATTTTAGAAAGTACACACCTATATGGCTATTCTATTCTATCCTTTGCTTGTCTTGGTTGAAGTATTTGGTGGAGTTTGAATTTGGTATAATTACATATAATGTTTGGGCAAGCATTGCTATTCAAAATTTTAAAATTTTAATTTAATTTTGAGTTTAGTAACGTTACAATCAATTGAGATATTAAATATAATATTTTCTTTTATATTTTTTTAATTATTAATTAATCATATCACTTATACATTATTGAGTCTATAAAATAGATCTAAATGTATATTTGTATATTATTTTTTTTATATATATGCAAAATTACATTCACATCAAATATATATTAGAAAATAGGTCAAATACAAATCACTTCTTGAAATTGTTTATAAATTGATCCTTATGGTTGTAAAAGTTATAAAATTATTAGATCTATTAATTAAAATATATTTATGATATTATTAAAAATTGTTAATTGAGTTAATTATTTAAATTATCTATGTGTGTCTAGGTAAGAACTCATAAAGGGAGTATAGAGTGATATGGAGTGATAAACGATGAAGGAAAGTTTATTCATGGATCTTATTATTTTAACCAATCAATGTGCAAAGTTTTGATAATCCAATTCTTGTTATGTGGATAAATAAAATCCATCTCTTATTTATATAGTATAAATATTTACTAAGTAGGGTCTTTGAGGTAAAACCAAAACAAAAAACAAATGATAAGAACAATATTACTTCTCACAAATTTTAAAATATTTTTACCCATTACATAGTACTTTTTAATTTTTTATCTTATTTTTAAAACACTCTAATTGGCATAATAATAATAATAAAATAATAATAAAAGTTCATGATAGTAACGTGATGCTTGTTTGGAGTATATCTTATTGGTGGCCATACTCTGATATTTCCTCTCTCCAATCTTGATCGTGGCTTTTATGTTGTGTTTGGTTGAGGAGATTTGAAAATGGAAAGAGAAAATGTATATGAAATTAAGTGACATATAAATATATTTTATTCTCATCTCACTTATATTTTTTCTTTTCCTTTTCAAATCCCCTAATCAAACACAATGTAAAGGAATTTTGGCTTAATTTGAGAACTTAACTAAAAGTTATAATTCAGCTTTTAATTTATTTTAGATTACATTACTTCTTTATTTTTTCACACATTTTTTTAAGAAAAAAGTTAAAATAATTTATAAAATCAACTTTTAGCCAACTTTTAAAAAAAAAAATTTATCTTTGAGATGGAAGGTAATTATTACACTTGAATTTAAATTTTAAAATATTAATTTCAAAAGTATTATTTTATTCTCATTTTTTAAATTTATTTATAATTATTTTACAATAAATAATTTTAAAATTTTTTAAATTTAAAATTTCGACTTTTCAAAATCAACATGTATTTCAGAATAATAAAAAATTAAATAATGTAACAAAGTGGATCCGAAAGAGCACTTGCTACCTAGTGGGGTCTCACGTGGCAGTCAAGCCAATCACCAAGCTAGAAGAACCGGTTGGAGCACACTTTGTTTTCCCTCTTGAAGCACCCAAAAACTTCTCATCTTATCTATAACAAAGTATTCTATTTTTTATATTATTATTTTTTAAAATAATTTTTGAGTGACATGGGTTTACTTTGCTGTCACGTTTCAAACATTTTCCACGTTCTTTTACCATTATTTTATGCGAAGATATATATTTTTATATACGTGGGGACCCTTTAGCTGTCTTTTACGTGGCTATTGCGTGTATGTATATATATATATATATATATTAATTGCTGTATTGTTATATGTATGGCACATGGAATTTATGTGTAATTTAAATAAATAAGTATAAAAATATATAATAAAGAAATTTATATCATAATATTTATATTGTCTAAATGGTAAAAGTATTCTTAATAAAATTTGAATTATTGGGTTCAAATCTTGCTCACACTTTTGAATAATATTTTTTTATTTTAGAATGAAAAAATTTGTCACGTGACAGAAAGAGAAGTCACCACGCTATTAGATACCAAGTCATGCATTCACATGTATAATAGTAGAGATATTAATTGTTGTGTTACTATATGTTTATTTTATGAGTTATGTTAAGAATCCTAAATAATTTATTAATTTTTTTATTAAATCTCTAATATGGATGTGGGACTTACATTTGTATGGGTCCCATACCCACATGAAAAATTTAGTAAAAAATTAAATAAATTACTTAAAATCTATAGCATTTTTCTTATTTTATTACTTAATTAATTGTTTAAAGTAATAGAAATGTGTTTCAATTGCTAAAATCAACCCATACTGGAGGAGGGCTGTATTGAATGTTACTTTGGCTGGTGTGAGAATTATTTAAGGTGGGTTTTGGTGATAGATGATCCTTATTCTCAATTTATTTTTATTTTATCTATTTATTTTTATAAAAGATAAGTCAAATATTTTTTTTCTTTAGTTAAGGATAATGGTTAAAATATGATCAAAATATAACAAATATATTCTCAAGTGAAATTTCATTAGCCTCCACCCCAACTTTTACCATTAGCTACAGTTAGCCACAGTCAATAATCACCGCTAAGGCCACGTTTGTTTTCAGAGGTAGAATGGAAGGGATTGATAGTGAGAGGATTAAGTAAAATTGTGTTTGTTTTGATGATAGTTGTTAGTGTAGGAATTGTTAAATTATTTTTATATAAAATAATAAAACAAATAAAAAAAAATACAAAAACATTAAACATTAATGTTTTAAAAAACATGCCCAACATGTAAAAAAAATTTAAAAAATAAAAATAAAATAAAAAAATTTCAGAAAAAATAAAATAATGATTTTTACTTAACAAAAAATACAAAAATTTAAACATTAATGTTCAAAAAAAAATGCCTGACATGTAAAAAATAAAATAATAAATAAATAAATATAAAAAATTTCTAGTCCTCCGGACTATTTTTCTAATACCAAGTCCTGGAGAATCCCATCTGCAAGGTCTATCCTAAGTCCTTCGGCTTAGCAATTCCTTCCTCAACTCTGTAAACAAACAGCACATTAAATGAGGCCCACAGCTAACCTAATCCCAATCTCCCTCTCATATCCCAAAACAAACGGAGCCTAGCTATTAGCAACTAATTTTTTACAATTATTTTTTAGTCACGGTTGGTAATCATTTTTCAACGACTCTTCACAGCCTCGTCCAGTGACCTACTTTGGGTTGATTAATTCGCTAATTTGATGTTTAACATTACGTACACTACTAATTTTCAAAATCAAAGATGGGTTATTTTTCTTTTAATATAAAAGTTGTTTATTGAGTTATTTAAACTTATTAACCTCTGTGAGCAACCATTACAAATTATTTGTAAACAATCTCCTTTAAATTGTATGAAAAAAAAAAAAAAAACAAATCAAATCAAATCAATCTGAGGATTGAAATAAAAAGTTTTGAACTTTTAACCTTTTTGTTGAACAGAAATACATAAACGTGGAAAGAAATTTTTAGATCAATAAAAATCCTATTTGGATTGGTTTATATTTCTTTATACTTAAAGCACTTTTTTGCTTGAGCTTATGAAAAAAAAATCCTTTAAATTGTATGAAAAAAAAAAAAAAAAAAAAAAAAATCAAATCAATCTGAGGATAAAAGTAAATGCAGTCAAGTTGTGAGCACGTGTCAAAGTTGGCTGGCAAATCAGGCTGTGAATGTGAACATCAACTACCACAGCTACTTGTGAGCCTAAACATAGGAGTACCTAATTATGTTGATTAACACCAAAAATTATCTGAGTAGGTTTACGTGATGTTTGGTTTTTAATTTTGACTAAATAATCACAAAAGAATAAAAAAAAAATCAAAAAACCACAAAAGACAAAAATCACAAAAACACAAAAAAAAGTCTATCATTCTAAAGTTAAAAAGTCAAAAAAGTCAATCAAGAATATCAAATGAATAAAAAAGTCACAGGCTAAAAAAGTCAAAACATTCAAAAAAGTCAACTAAAAAAATCATTGTCAAACGAAGGCTTAAAATATTAATATTATGTGTCTGTGCTTATTTAATAATAATTTAAAATTGATCCGATAGTTTCATATTTTTTAGATCATACATTCATTTAGGGGTTGTTTGGAATGACCTAAATAAGTGTACTTTTTGTCTTTTTAAGAAAAGATGTGGAGAAAAGTAGAGAGATGATATGATAGAAAAAAGATAAAAAGTGTGTACTTATTTAAGATAGCTAAACTTGACCTTGACCTTAACCTTTTGCTATTAATCCAGCACATTACTAAGATCAACTCTAATGATGAAGAACTAAAATCAATAGTTAAAGTTATAATTTAATAATAAACGGTGTAAAATAGTTATAAAATAGCAATGTTATTCCAATGGTTTAATTTCTATTTTTAACTTAACCAACACAAGGCTAACATTTTTTTAGGACAACTGGACAACCAGTCGGCCGACCGGACTTACAAAATTATGATGGTTGATTTCTTAAATATTCTAGAATTTTGGTTGAGGGAGTTAATGGGAAGAAGATAAATAGTAATTTTGTTATACTCGCACCTTTAGCTAAAACTTGTGTCAAATCTAGCACAAGATATAGCAAAGTTACCGTTATTACCGTTATAGGATTTGTTTAAGAAGTGACTTTTTAACTAAAATATGATATTAAAAAAATTGAAGTGTTTGAGAATAAGTTTTGACTTTGTACCCAAAAAAAAATGCAAAAAATAAAAAGTAATAAAAAAT